AGCTTAGACCTCCAGTAACGCCATCTCAGAAGCATATTTTACATCACATCAGAGCCAAAGATTGATAACAAGCCTCAGGACGTTTAGGCAACACGTACAACTAAGAGCTAAGTTAACATCTTGTAGAAGAACCTACATAATTTCAAAAAAAAAAAGCATAATGTCAAAAAGATCGGCATAATGTCAGTTTTTAAGATACGTGATACCCGTGCGGGTTGGGATCGAAACGTATACAATAAAAAAGAACTTTAAACACATGGTTGATTGGTCAGACAAAAATGGAGGATTACAGACACATTGTATTTATTCTGTAAACATTGACTAGTCTATGATTCCCAGATGCACTGGCCGCGTATGTACGGCTACTGCATATGTGTCAGGAAATATTTGTAGCTAGTCCAATTTATAGACCGTGTATTTGTATATACGGCCTTGCGCGATATATGATATATGTATATCGGTTTGAAATCCTTTGACGGTATGCTGAATATATATGCGAGTTTATCTTTGTGCGACGCTGAGAAATAGTTGTATCCGTAGTCTAGATAAGTTCACTAGGAAACTAGCATATACCTACAAACTTTTGTACGTCCTTTCAGGGGTTACACAGAGCTGGATCCGCTAGCTCAAAGTATTGAAAAAGTTTATACAGGGTGTCCACGGATTTATCGTCATTTAAATTTTTTAATGGAATGTCCCTGGAGGGCCGAGGGTGAATTCGTTTTTGGATAAAAAGTTGTCCCCCTTGGCAGATCCTTTGACGTGTCTAGGCATTTTTTTTAATCAGTGGTTTTCGATAAATCCGTGGCGGAAAGTTTTCAAGTGAGCACCCTGCAATATGACCTCGCACAGTTTAGTTTCCCTGACATTAGCCATAGAAGATCACTGGACAACAAATTTTAGTTTTTTAATTGTATCTTGAGGGAAAAGTGCACTTCTTTGTTAATTTTGGGGCGGTGAATCCAAAAATGACAATGAAATAAAAAAATTAGTTGCGGTTTAGAAAAAAAACTTTTTATTTTTAAGGATATATTAAAAAAGTAACAAGATTCATATACTTATAAGAATCACTATTTGCGCTGTCTTTTTGCTGTATCTTTTATGGATCGTTTCTGGAGCATCTCTACCAGGAGTCCAACAGTAGTCTGCAAGCATGGAAGGATTCCACTTTCCCTGGTACCTTTTTTCCATTGTTGAAATATCCTGATGAAAACGTTCGCCGTGCTCATCACTTACGGCTCCGCAATTATCAGGAAAAAAGTCCAGGTGTGAGCGTAGGAAATGTATCTTAAGAGACATATTACAGCCCATCTTTTGATACGATGACAGCATATTTTTGACAAGGGTTTTATAGTTGTCAGCTTTTCTATTTCCCAAGAAATTAGTGACCACCAGACGGAAATCATTCCAAGCAGTTTTTTCAATACCTGTTAAGTGTTTTCAAACTGTGTATCTTTCAAAATATTTCGAATCTGTGCCCAACAAAAATACCTTCTTTAACCTTTGCCTCACTTAGTCTTGGAAATTTCTGACGCAGGTATTGAAAAGCTGACCCATATGCTGTACATTTTTTTGACCTGGCTCTAGGAATTGACGAACAGGCCAGTTTTGTCTGGTGTAATGAAGTGCCTTTGCCCGACTGTCCCATTCACACAAAAAACAGCAAAACTTTGTGTAGCCTAGCTGCAGCCCAAGTAAAAGTGCAACAACTTTCAAATCGCCACAAATATGCCATTGGTGCTCATCGTATTTTATGCATGTCAATAGGTACTTCATATTGTCATATGATTCTTTCATGTGAACTGCATACCCTACAGGAAGAGATGGTAAAATATTTCCAATATGCAATAACACTGCCTTTAAACTCAATGTTGAACTGTCTATAAACAATCTCCATTCTTCTGGGTTATAGTTTATATTTAAAGCCGCCAGTAAGCCGTTAATGTTACTGCAGAAAACCAAGTTATTCTCCATATTGAAAAATGGTTCTAAGTCTTTTTGGCGTTTACGAAAAACACATACCGAAACATCGTCTTCTAACAAGTTCCACTGCTGCAGTCTTGATCCAAGTAACTCTGCCTTACATTTTGGAAGTTCTAAATCTCTTACAAGATCATTTAATTCTGACTGTGTTATTTTGTGCGGTTGGTGGCATGACGTGCTCGGTATAAAATAAGGATCTCTTGACGTTGATGGCATATCTTCTTCCTGACGAATCACTCGATCGCCATGATCTGATTCGTTTTCTGATTCGCAAGTGTAGGATTCTGGGGGTTTTGGAATAGGATTTTCGTCACTGTAAGGCACAGGTCTCATCGCAGATGGTATGTTTGGGTAGTTAATAACCGATTTTTTTTTCTTGGACATACCTGTGGCTTGTCCAACACAAGGTACCATGCAAAAGTAACAATCATTACTATGATTTGTAGGCTCTCTCCAAACCATTGGGACAGCAAAGCGCATAGACCGTTTTTTGCCATTTAACCAGCTCCTCAGACTTGAAGCACATGTATTACAGTAAATGTGGGGTGCCCACTGTTTATCTTGATCACCTAGTTTACAACCGAAATAAAGCTGATATGCCTTTGTTATTAGTGGAGTAATAGACCGTCTCTGAGACGCAAAAGTCACATCACCACACACGTAACAAAACTGATCTGAATTGTTTACACACTTTCGAGACATCTTGCATGAACGCTGTCAGCCAACTGAGGAAAAAATGGCTAATATAAAACAATATAATGTACACGTATGTATAACGTAACACAATCATGCCGATTACATCATCTTTCCTTGCCGAATATAAAAATGTAGCACGTGCATTCTTGTAAATTACAGTATATTAACACTGTCACAGCAGGAATACATATAATTACCGTATCTCTAAAACTTGAACTAATATTGAAAAAATAAGTTTCATTCCGGTTTTAGCACATTAAAAATAGTAATATTTTGTTGATTTTATTTAGGATATTTTTTGGCTGTTGATCAGTGAGATCAACGGCCCTCGTATCGGTAGCGCAAAGTGCTTAGCGTCGCACATCCCTTTCTTCAACAGTATGTATGAAGGAGTATTCTTTATTTCGTGTACAAAAACGGTAGAAAAACAAACAGTTCAGGATATCAAAAATGCTTAACGGTGACCTTATTTGGAGGTCAAGTTTGTAAATTCAAATACCAACCACCATTTTTGACAGCAGCAGGTTTGAGTAGAACTAGAAATTTTACAAGAGAGTGCATATTTATATGAACATGATGTCTGCTATTTGAATTTACGAACTCAACTTCCAAGAGACCTCAGAGGTCAATATCGAAATCGCATTTGAGGTTGACGATAAATTGCTTTTTTGATATCCTGAAGCCTTTGTGGGGATCTTTCCCCAATCAGAAAAAGTATGGTTGCCAAGTACGCGGTGTGTTATATATACTTTTCGGTTGTTGCAGTAGGTCATACTAATTGTACTACTTATAACCCCTTAAACTCATGTATGAAAATGTAGTCTGATGTCAAAATAAGCAGCCGTTTTTGAACTCTTAAAGTTGACCTCAAAGTCACCTTTGAGGTCCAGTGGAGATGCTTTCTTATTAGGCCTATACCTCTGATTTCTGTTATAAGTAAGACGATGGAGAGGTGCATTAATCTGGAACTTCTGGAGTACCTTGAACGTCACGTCCACGTGGGACCTCCTAGCTACGTCAAGCAACTATAAAGTAAGCTCATCAAGTCTTGTGGTGAGGCATCTTGATATCACTGGAGGTTCGATCAGTATCCTCTCTGGCCGCAAAATATCCGCCGTAACTGACGGGTTCTCCTCTTCATCCGACAATGTCAACGCGAGTGTTCCCCAGGGATCGGTTTTGGCTCCGACATTGTTCGTTCAACATATCGACGACCTTTATTTCCTGTACGACCAATTCGATCCACAGCTTTGCTGAAATTCAGAGTAACAAACCGATCTCTGTCGGTGAGTCGAAGACAAGAATTCCACTCTTATCAGCGAATTTCTTTCTGACGAAAGACCAGGAGTTATCACTGCTTGGGGACGCAACAATCTAGAAAAGTTTAATGATCTGGTACGAACATATCTCGTCAATACGGGCAACTCCTCAGAAAAGCTAGGCTATTTGTTTAGAGCAAAGAAGTAGTTTTCTCCACATTTGCTTCTCTCTGTGTGCAAGGCCCAGATTAGACCTAGCCTCGAGTACTGCTCACACGTTTGGGGAGCTTCCGCCCCAAATACATTATCCGTGCTCGATGCTGTTCAGAAGGGGCTGATCGATGACTCTTCTCCAGCCGTGGTACCCTTTCGCACCAACGCACAGTGTGGCGCCCAATGGACAAAATTACTCAAAAACATAATTTTTGACATTAGAATTCTGTTGCTTTTATTATACCATTGGATAGATAAGTAGTCACTGCAACACGGAAGTATAGTACTTTAATAAGTTGGCTGCGATTCACCTATTTTAGCAACTTTAAAGTTAGACATGTCGAGACCTGTCAAGAAGGCGAAAAATCTCTCTGTTTTATTGCTCGGGAAAGATATAAATTTTGTGTCGAAATATTTAAATATTTTAACTTTTCCGATATGGCTGGTAATGAGGCTGGTAAGTACATTATATTGATGTATAGATTTATTTAAAATATAATTATAATTAGATAATTTTTTAAGTTAAAGTGACTATTACCGATTTTTTAATTTTTTTTTAAACTTTTGACTTTGTTTAGAGTTTTACAAAAATCACCTCCCATCACCCTAAAAATTTTTTTATTTATTGTTTATCTGTCCATAGTAAGTTTTGATAAAAAGTTTAAATCACGTCATGCCACGTCTAAGGGAGATATAATTTTTTTTAGGACATGGTGCTATTGTCAGAAATAGAGATTTGATTGATGTGTGGATAGATGCACCGAGAGGAAATAGAAAACAGAAACAGATGAACCTTCCAAACATCTTAAAAGTAATATTATGAAATGCAGCCAGTTGTTTGGGTTGAAAATGGCAAATAAATGGCAGAAAGTAGGACAATCTCTGAATCGACTTTTACAAAATCAGGTATATTGGTTAGACAAGATTATATATAGAATAAATAATGGTTCTGAAGAAAACACATCTTCGGATGAGGAACAAGAACCTCCTTGTCGCTCAGTTGGACGGCCACGGGTGCCATTTGAAGAGGCATCCAAGAAAACAAAACGAAGACGTGTAGCTGAACTAACCACAGACAGATTTGCAAATGAACTTCAATTTGCTGTAAATGTCGTTTCTGGAAGCAGTCACAGTGAGGTCTCGCCACAAATTTTTAGTTTTAGTACAGCTGAAGCTTTAGCCCTTATGGTAGATTTGGATATATCCGTAAGAAAGTATTTGCTACTTAGGTCTGTTATTAATGGTAAGGCACAGAACTGCCTTCCTAGTTATAAAGAATTACAGAAAACAAAAAATGCTATCCTCCCTTCACAATTTATTATTACTGAAATTTCTGCAGAAGTTGATTTGCAAGAACTTCTACAGAAAACAGCTCTAAGTATCCTTGAAATAATAAATTTTGAAGAGAGGGATTGCCGGATAAAAGTGATATGCAAGTGGGGATTTGATGGCAGTTCTGGGCATAGCCAATATAAGCAGAAATTTTCTGATTTAGAAAACACCGACGAATTTCTGTTTCTTGTAGCAATGACGCCACTCAGATTGATTGATATGGAAACGAATAAGGTATTGTGGAAAAATGAGAGCCCTTCATCTACTTTATATTGTAGACCGATCAAGTTTTTATTTAAAAAGGAAAATGCTGATTTAGTGCGGAATACGGAAAAGGAAATAATAACAAAAATTGAAAATTTGATTCCTATTGAGATTAAAACCAAAGAAGGGCACTCTTATATAATTGAAGTTGATATGATGTTAACAATGTTGGACGGCAGTGTTGGAAACGTTCTATCAGAGACAAATTCAACTATGAAGTGCATCATTTGCGGAGCCACACCCAAGGACATGAACACGTTAGCAGGGATTAACCGTCCTCCTAACGTAGACAATTACCGGTTTGGTTTGTCAACTTTACACTGCTGGATTCGTTTTTTTGAATGCTTACTCCATATTGGATACCGCCTGCCAATTAAATCTTGGCAGGTTCGTGGGCCTAAAAACAAAGCTGTAGTCGAAGCAAACAAAAAACGAATCCAAGCAGAGTTCAGAGCCAAGCTTGTCGCTAATAGTTGAAAAACCAAAACCCGGGTATGGCTCCTCAAATGATGACAATACGGCCAGTATTTTTTTTCACAATCCACAAACAAGTTCAGATATCACAGGGGTTGACAGGGAATTAATCGAGAAATTTGCGATCATCTTAGGAGTGTTTGCTAGTGGTTGCGCTATTGATATGGAAAAGTTTGCGTCATTGCTGGAAGAAGCAAGAAATTTCTATATCCACCTTTATAAGTGGTACAACATGCCAAACAAGGTACATGAGGTCCTTGTTCATGGGTGTGAGATAATTGATGCATTTTGTTTGCCCATTGGAGAACTGTCGGAGGATGCGCTTGAGGCTCGCCATAAAGAGGTTAGGAAACATCGATTATCTCACACCAGAAAATTTTTCAAGAACAGATACGAATAAGGATCTCATGCGTGTTCTTTTACTTACTTCTGATCCTTTTATATCCTCAAAAAGAAAGGTGAGCTCAAAAAAATATGAGAAATGCAACGAGGCAGTTCAGAACTATTTAAAAAAGCAAGAAAATGATGATTTAGGTATTGACTTAGGTACAATAACGAATGACACAACACCGAGCAAGAAATCCTATTCCGATTAGAATTGGTATATTTGGTGTTATTTTTTTAATATAGTTTATATTATTATTTCATACATTACCTACTAAGTAATTGTTATTTTGTTAAATATATTTTTTTAAATAAAAACCTAAATATCAATTTCAAATTATACAGATTTATTTTTTATTTGAATTATTCTTATTATTTTTTCAAATAGATAGACAAATTTAATATAGTCAACGCCAAACAAAGTGGCGTGCACGTCATCAAGGTGGGTGTGTTGAAAAATTTACATTGTTGCCAAACTTTTTGTAAAATAATAAAATTTATTATTTACATATCTAGGTTTATAAGCAATATTAACCTCAAATGAGAACAAAAATAATAGTATAATAAAATTATAGATCTGTACTTGCATAATCATTAAGTATGACAATTATTGATCAGATGACACTATGAAACTACCATATTTAATTGATAGCTTAAAGGTACTGAATAAAAATCCAAATGGGGTCCAAATTTTATGCATGGTATTTATTTTACAGAATTCATACAGAAAAATGCATTCTAAAATTAGGTAAGCTACTGGTGTAAGCTTTTTCTGTACAATAAAGTTAGTCGGAGTTTCTTTCTTCAGCGCTGTCTGAATCTGAATCTTCATCACTCTCAAAGTTGATTATTAAAGGTTCGATGTCTGGTCGATCAAAAATTCGTTCTCTTTCATACCATTTAAAAATTTCTTGCTCAGTATGTCGAACACTATTTTTCCACATGTCTGGGGTAACCGTTTGTAGAGCCTCGTTCCACATATCCAAACAGTCTTTTTCACTGTTACCATCTCTACCAATATGTCTGTTATAGTAACCTTTTGCTATGCCCCAAATTAACTCAATAGGGTTAAATATACAATGGTAAGGAGGCAGACGAAGAACTTTGTGCCCATGTTGTTCCGCCAATTCATCAATCACGTATATTTTAGGTGGTTTGTTTCTAAAAAAGCAGTTATTTTAATAATAGGAATAAACAAAAGAAATATAAACTGTCGACCAAAATATATATAATTAAGAAGCATTATGTACCGAGCAACAATACTCAATAGCTCTGTTTTAAACATTGTGTTTAAAAATGGTATGTTTTGATTTGTCAACCAGTCTTGGATATTTTTTTTTGTCCATGCATTGTTGGGCACTTTGTTCAATATCATGCTGTGATAAGGGGCGTTATCCAGTATAATCATAGATGGACTCTCCAATTTTTCTAATAACTGATGTTGAAACCATTTCAAAAAATTGTCCTGGTTCATCTCTCCATGGTAATCGCTCAATTTTGTTTTCGAAGAAAATATCGCTTCACTACCCTCAATAAACCCATTTTCATTTCCAGCATGTAATATAATGTATCTAAAATATATTAGTTTTAAATTTTATAGTGCAAATTGTGTAAAAGTACATACCTTTTACCATCTGTTTTAATAGCTTTCACGCTTTTTTGGTTTCCATTTTGCCAAGAGCGACCTATGGTCCCATTTTGAAATATCCAAGTTTCATCGAGGAAGACAAACTGGTATAAGGCCTCAACCTTGGCTTGATTGTATTGCCTTAGAAATTCCACCCTTTTCAAAGCTATACTTGGTAGTTCCATGAGCCCTCGTCGCGGGTTGTCCTTAAGCCACTTAAATCCAAGATCTCTAAGCAACCGCCTTAAAGACGTGGCACTACCATCAAATAATGCCCTATCTCTTAATCGAGACCATAAAGTTTGTATCGTAACTTGTTCTTCTGAAACCATGTGTAATATGACATTATAATTTAGTTAACAAATTAATGCAAATTTCTGATAAGTTATTATAATAAGATCTTACTTTTGTGATACATATTATACAGGGTGGCGCAGAGGAAACGCATGTTTTCTGACCGAATGGTATTTCGCACAGAATAGGGATATGACCTCGCCGCACCGCCAGCAGAGAACACATGCGATGCAGTTTCAGCTATGGCACCGTGGATGACGGAGCATCGTGTGTTTGCCGTCGAGCAATTTTTTCGAAACGATGATTCTGTAGTGATCGTGCAACGTTTATTCCGTCGACAGTTCAATGTTGAACGCCACGGGCCAATTCCAGATCGAAACACAATACTCCGATGAGTTGAAGCATTTCGAAGTACTGGATCCGTAATGAAGAGGAAGCCACCTGGCCTTCCCCGTACCGTGCGGACTCCAGGCAATATCGAAACAGTGAGAAGAGCGGTCCTTGATAGTCCCCAACGGTCCACTAGGCGCCAAGCTCCAACTCTGCGTATGTCCCGTCGGTCGTTACAACGCATTCTGCATGACGATTTACAATATCATCCGTACAAGATAATGATCGTGCAAGAGATAACGGAAAGCGATTTTGCACAGCGTAGAGAATTTTGTGCGAGAATTAACTGTGTGGTGCGGAATCAGTAAATTAGGTATCGTTGGTCCTTACTTTGTTGAAGAGGAAGAAAGAGCAGTAACAGTTACTTCAGCACGTTATGTTCACATGTTACAAAATTTTCTGTTACCCGAACTTCAACGGCAACAAGTAAACATGGGAGAGCTGTGGTTCCAACAAGACGGTGCCACAGCTCACACAGCGAGAGCATCAATGGAATGGATTGGACAGATGTTTCCTGAACATGTGATTTCCCGTTTCGGCGATGTCCCTTGGCCCCCACGCTCCCCAGATTTGTCCGCATGCGACTTCTTTTTGTGGGGTTACCTTAAGGATAAAGTGTACCCTCACAAGCCTCGTACGTTACAGGAACTGAAAATTGCTATTCGTCAAGAAATTGCAAGAATACCACAAGAAATGATTTTACGTGTAATGCACAACTTTCAAGAGCGGTTGGAGATGTGCGAGCGCGAAGCAGGGCGACACTTGAGTGACGTTATTTACCATCATTAGTTTAAAAGTGCACTATCATTACTTTATTTAGCTGTAACTGAAACAAAGTTATCTTGAAAATAAAAAATGTTATGCTTAGATGAAAATCGTGCGTTTCCTCTGCGCCACCCTGTAGATCACTTCTCGAATGGCACTTGTATCCAATGTCGCTGTGTTGGTTACACGTTTAATATAACTCCGCTTTTTCTTGGGCGATTCTAAATTTGCATCACTTTTCACACCCTCGGAAATACGACTAACTGTCCTTAAACTAATTTTTAAAGCAGCAGCAACACGCTACAAAAAATGAAATAAAATTTCACTATTATTAATATACATTACATATAATTATTAGTAACCTACCTCTTGAACAGCATTTAAAGGCAACAAAGGCCCGTTGTTGTCCCTTTCTTGCTCAAAGTAGTGCATTAACGAGGCCACGAGTTCCTTACACCGACTATTTAACTGTTTGGGCATCTTTATATACCAAAATTGCCTTTATCTACTCGTAAAATGAATAATTTTGTTTTGAAACAAACAGTTGTTGATTTACAGTATGCGGGGCCAAAGGATTTATAAAGATTTGAAATGCCACAAATTGATTCAGTGTCAAAATTAATACAAATGTCAGTTCCCAGTTTAAATAAGTTTCAAGGTGACAATGTGTCAACGCTGCGAAATCGGTTTAGTGCGTTTACATGTCGATAAGTGATTGGAGCGTTTGCAAAACATTTTATTTCGCATAATGCGTCTAAATTTATCAGAAAGCAACTTATGTGATATTTTAATAACAATGTTTATATGACTATTAACCATAATAAGAGAGTAATGACCATTTTACAATTTATATATCACATTAATATGAAACTGCAATAGAGCAATTGTTTGTGATAGAAACCTAGGCATTAGGTCGGGGAATTTTTATCGTGATGACGTGCACGCCACTTTGTTTGGCGTTGACTATAAATCATATTGCGCCCGCCACAAGTTGGCTACATTATCTTTTAAATCATTCGGTAAAGATCTTGAAAAATAAAAGCGTGACTTTTTTGTCTCTCTTAAGAATGCTATAATAATATCCTACCTTATCCCAATTTATTCGAGATCATCAACTAAATATTTTGACTTTTACAAAAAAAACGATTTATGCGAAATGCATACCGCCTGCTCCCCCACCCCTTCTTATTATTTTAAATAATTTTTGTCATTCTTAAGAAAGCTACTTAAATAAGTAATCGCCCTGCGTTTACAGAATTCAAATAGGACCACTAGTTTTTAAGATATCGAATTTTGTCACTGATCCCTATAAAGGAACACACTGTGCAACGGGTGGTCTGCGATCTGGCTCTCTTTTAGCGTTAAAATCGGATTAACAAAGTTTCTTTGGGATCCTCGTAACAGCCGCGGTGCTCTGACATTTTAGGCAAATGTGATCAAAGTTTGGAAACACTGTTCTAGACCCTGGTTTCCCGAAGAGTATATAAAGTTGAAGCCTATTATTGTAAGAAAAATAAGTTTGAAGTACATTGCCTGATGTATAAACATAATCCGCCGCTTAGCGAACAACACACACAGGCGCACAGTGGTTATTTCTATATTTCATTCGGATTCTGTCCCACTGACCCACATTTCCGTTGTCATTGGCACCACTTTTATTTTCATTTCGCAATCATAATTGTATGATTGTTATGTCGTGTTAATTGATAATCACGCTCAACGTTATCTATATCTTCTCTCAACAGACGTGTTTTTAAATAAACATTTCTTATCTCAGTTATACTGATAGACATTTCATAGTTTGGTTGTCTTGGTTACACAGTTTTCCGATACAGTTTGAAAAATAAACAAATAGGAAATCTTGGGTTAAGTGGGTTAACTCTGTATTCTTACGCATCGATAAAATCTTGGAAATGTACGAATTAAAAAGGCTTGAGTGAAGAGTATTCAGACATTCACAACTTTGACATGCTGCTAAAGGTACGCTTACTGCGATGCTTTCCTCGCCAACTTGATGAGCGCTTTCTCAGTGTCACTGCGATAACAAACGCATGAATTAAGATTGGAGGCGATGCTTTCTGTGCGGCAAATATTTTGTTTTTTCCTCGCTATGAGGGAGAAGCATCGAGGTGAGCT